TGCAGGAAGAGGATTAGGAGGTTTATAAAGAAATTAGAAGCGAGTTAAAAGGGCAATTAGAAGAGCAGAAAGAGAGATTGAGCAGTGAATTAGGGAGGATATTTTAACACACAATCAGAGCTCCCCGAGACGGATTCAGAGCAGGGAGAAGGTAAAAGAGAAAATTGGCCAATTACGACCTGATAGCGGGGAATTGGTGACATGAGAGAAGGTAATGGCTGATTTGTTAAACAGTTATTTTGATTCTGTTTGCACAAAGGAGGAAGAGGATGGAAGGATTTGGGTTGTGGGGATGAGATCAAGGTGTGTCTGCGGGAGGGGATGGATGCGGGAAGCGTTTCACCCCTGTTCATAGGGTGGGGAGATAAATGGGTGTTAGGGAGCAGCCCCTTCAGCAATGAGCTGGGGAGTGAAACCTTGCCTTTGTTTGCTTAATCGGCCACTTTTAAGCAAGGATAAAAGATAAAAGATCCTTCTCCCCTTTGAAGGTTGCTTCTCCAGGAGAGGGGAGAATGGAGTGCGTTGGGATATAGCGAGATGGATGGGGACTGTGAAGGGGTCCTGCCCCTGGGACTGCTGTTACGTGGGTAGGGAGGTGGTTTGGCACCTTCCCCAAAACACACATTGCCAGCCATGAACACTGCTGCAACCCTCCGTGTCCTGTTTTCACAGTTGCTGTTGCTTCCATCTGTGACTCCAACACAGCGATGCAAGAGCATCCCTGTAACCGCTCTTCCCATCAGCAGCATCGGCCATCTCCTGTTCCACCAGAGAACCATCAGCAGCTTGAGCTGGATGGGTAAAGGCTGGTGGAGCAGAGGAGTGATGTCAACCTACAAGACCTCAAGGGGGTAATAAGTGATGGGGAGGGAAATGTTCTCGGTCACGCAATGGGAAATGGGATCTTGGCAAGTGTTCCTGGGGATGTGGTTGAAGCTGATGCAGGGAAAGCGTACACAGAGAGGATTTAGGGAAGGGTGAACTTGAAGGACCACAAGAAGTGTTATTTAGCTTGTGAGAAATGTGAAGGGATGCTTTTGATCTGCTCTGTCTCTCTGAAGGGGGTAAGAGCTGCAAAGCAACCTACTGATATAAGGGAATGGCTTGGAATTGGTGCGGGGGGGGGGTACAAGTGTTGCCTGGGAAGCGATGGGGGATACAGGAAAACTGCGGAGTCATGGACTTGGTTTGGACTGATAAACTGGGAATCTATCCTCAATATCCGAGAGGTGTTTGGGTTTCCTCCTGCCTGGGAGGATAAAAGAGATGCAGTGTGTGTGTGGGGTTGTGTTTTCAAAGCGTGCACGGAAAGCTCCGTATTAGCAATTATGGGATGAAACTGTGGAAAAGCGGCACAAAGGAGGGAAAATTGGCTTTGACTCAGGAAACGGGATTCTGCTGCCGGGGGTGAGCTTCCCAAGGCACAGTCTGGGGTCTTTTCTGGGCTCTCTTTTTAATGGGGAGGATTTGCATGAACAGCCCAAAGTTAAGAGCGTGAAAGCTCCCTGATGTAAATAGGGGGAAGGCAGCGACAGGGACTCATCTCCTGGAGCACATGGAGAACACTAAAGGAATGGGAAACCCATGAGCAAAAGGATGCTTGACTGACACATTTCCCAAGGGAAGCATTTAGAGCTTGCAGGGAGCTGCTGGGGAGCAGCATCCAACCACGCTGTCTGCCTGCACTCCCGATAGGGGAATCAATGCATGGCCAGAGGTTGAGCCTGTGACAGTGACTGGCAGCAGGTCACAGTTGATGGCCCCTCACTGGGAAGGGGCACCATGGCACAGGCGGAGCTGTGGAGCATGGAGGGGTTTAGGCTGATAGAGTCATTTAGATTGGAAAAGGCTTTAAGATCAGTGAGTTAAGCCAGCACTGCCAAGGCCACTAATCCATGGCCCCAAGTGTCAGTACCCAACCTAAACCTCCCCTGGCACAACTTGAGGCCATTTCCTCCTGTTCTATCACTTGTTATTTGGGACTAGACACCGACCTCACCTCACTTACATCCTCCATCCAGGTAGCTTTTGGGAGTGATAAGGTCCTCCCTGAGCCTCCTTTTCTCCAGGCCAAACAACCCCAGTTCCTCATCAGATTTATGCTCCAGGCCCTTCACCATCTTCTTTGCCCTTCTCTGGACCCGATTCCCAAATTCCTCCAGGCTGAGCCACACTGCCTTTGACAAGTCATGGTTATACCTCCATCCGCTCGACTGGAATGATGCGTGCTTTGAGCTTGTGGGACTGCTGCTCTGGAGAAGAGGGGATTTATGCCAGCCCTCAGAGCAGCATTCAAAATGCATGAAGACATGCTGTATGAAGGGATTTGGAGGGGGAAGCACCCGAGAGTGAAGCAGGGGCCGTGGTAGAGCTGAACCATGCAGATGGGGAGGCAGTTATTGAGGCAAAGTGCCAGTTTATCCTCGGAGAGCTGCGGTGGTGGAGGAAGGATGGGTACCGGGAGGGATGGCACCTAAGGGAAAGGCAGGGGGACCATCACAAACCTATAGCCCCAGTATCCTGATTTTGGCTGGGATAGAGTTAATTTTCTTCCTAGGAGGTGGCACAGCGCTGATTTGGATTTAAGATGAGAATAACGCTGATAATGGGGATGGTTTAGTTGTTGCTGAGCAGTGCTTACAATAAGGCAAGGATCCTTCAGCTTCTCACCCCACCAGCAAGGACATTGGAGGGGGCACGAGAAGCTGGGAGGGAACCCAGCCAGCACCACAGAGCCAAAATGATGCAGGGATATCCCACGCCATATGATGTTATGCTCAGTATACAAGCCAGCGGGTTGTGCATCGCTTGTTTGCTGTGTTCTAATTCTTTCACCATCATCATTATTTCCCCTTCCTTTTCTGTCCTATTAAACTGCCTTTATCTCAACCTATGAATTTCACTCTCTTTTTTCCCAGTCCTCTCCTCTGTCTCACTGTGGGGAGGGCAGTGAGTGAGCAAGTGCTGTGTGCTGTTTAACTACCTGCTGGGCTGAAGCACGACACCATGTCAAGTGACATCTCTTATTTAGCAGCGCATCATGTCTCCATTCCGGTTTTTAAACCAGTAGCCTTTATTGCTAGGAGTTAGAGCACTTGATTGACAAGGCTTGTAATACACCGTGGAGTTGCCTTTATTTCTCCTACGTGTTAAAGGAAAAGATACTAAAAATACAATTAGGGTTTTGAGCCGGGCGTAATCTGTTCGGCTACAATTCATCTCAAAGGCTATCCATTGCTCCTGCTGCACCCACATCATTTATAAAGCATTAGCATCTCCTGTGCTAACATTTCACTCCTAGATTACAGGAGTTACACACAAACTTAAAGGAAAATATTAATAAAGTGCTCCTCTCCTTCATTCTCCCACTGAGAGCTTTGATTTCCAGGGTATGAAACGAAATAACCAACATAACAACATCCTCCACTTCTAAGGGACAGTGCCAGACTCATTCAGTTGCTATTGGTTATAGAGAGTAAGACATGAGGGAGCTATTTCAGAGCACGGATTATTTGTTCTGGCTGCATTGGACATCCCTTTAGTGGAGCTTTAGAGCTCTGTAGACAGCAAAGTTCGGGTAGGAGCTGGAAGAGGGTTTGATGAAGTAACCTCTTCCTTTCTTCCCCTTGCCATTTCCCAAGAAGGGTGTTTAAAAGCAAAGCATCCAAGCCCTTGTCCCTCCTCGCTTGTGAGATGGGCAGAAGAGGTTGCACCCCCCCAAGCTGCCAATTCCCTTTTCATTCCCAGATACCCCCCAGGGGATGTGCCACTGCATAAACACCCTCTTTCATCCCCAGAGCGCATGGGAGAGCTGGCCTGTTCTTCCTGAAGCTAGCGGTGTGTCTGATGGCAAACACAAGCAAGTTTCCTTTGGGCTTTGCAGCCCCATACATGGCTACAGGGTAGAAACGTGCCGCCACTGGGGTATGGTTACAAAACGCACAGCAGCCTTTTCTTGTCCAAGATCACTTTTATTTCCCTTGTTTCATTAACTTCAGGGTCTGTTTGGTCTCGCACATCCACGCTGACAGGGGATTCGCACCTCCTGGGTGAAGCCACCAGCTCTGCCGTGCCCCCGACCAGCGAACGCATCCCTCTGCCACAGAGTTGGATTCAGGATGAGGGGAACAAGCAGATCTGCTCCCTCTCCTCCACCTCTCCTCAAGCTGCTTTCTACAGCTGCCTTGGACCATCTATGCTTCCCTCCTATGGTGGACCAGAAACCCTGGGCTCTGTGCTTCTCACCAGCCCTCTGTGAGCCGTAGGATATCCTTCCTCTGCTTCTTCCCATGACACAACCTATTCCTCTTAGGAAAAACCCCTTCTGATGCTATCAGGACTATCCGCAGCCTCGGAACTGCTCCTTGCTGCCCTATGGAAACCTTAGTCCAGCTATAAAGGTCCTCACGCCACTGATATGGCTGGAAGCCCCTCTCTGCCTCCAGCCCCCCAAAAGCCCCTTTCCTCCTTGGGGCCTTACACCTCTCTCCAGAGACAGAGCTCTATGGCTCTATTTATTTGGACTAACTAATCTCTCTCTCCCCCCGGTTACAGATTAGGACATAAGGGTGAGTTTTGGCTCTCTGGACATGGGCTTTGCTGCATCTCATACAACCGCCCCCCTCCCACAGTTTAGTGCTCTGAATGGCTGAGAACATTGGTCCTGGTACCCCCTCCCCTGCACGTACTGAGCCCGCCCGATGGCTTTCAGCATCTGTAGGCACTGCTGCCGGTTGGTTGTCTTGAGGAAAAGAAAAAGGAAACTCATATACTGGTCTGCTATAAATTCAACAATACAATCCTTAGTTCCGAAGATATAGTTTCCATATAGTTTATAAACATTATAAGACATACATATGGATAGCTGAGGGGAAGAGGGGGGAGCCTGTGCATCTGTTGGGTCTGGGTTTCTGTTCAGGTGTGTGAACACGGGTTACAAAAAGACGCACCTCCTGCAGGTACCTCATTTCTTTAAGTGTTGGCTTTGTCGGGGTTTGTTCTTTTGTTGCGTTCCACCTCGAATCAGTCTTTCCTTTGGTTGTTGGCGACTCCAAGCCCAGCAGGCAAGCCCTGGTTCTGCTGTAATGCCTGAGATATTCAGGGGGTTGAGATTGTCTTCTAAGAGATTCCCAGCCAACTTTGGCCTCTGGGTTTGGAGCCAAAAAGGGCTAAACCATGGGGGAACCAATGTCTTTATTACATCGGTATCCGTGTCCTTGCACTTGCTTTCAGAGAAACAACGTAGGCTTAATCGGTGATCGTCTTTACAGCGGTTATGTTCCTGTCGGTGATCGGAGGGGCCCTTTCAGCACGAGCAGGATCTCCCAAGAGCATGGATACAGTCCATGTGTCCGGTTGTTGTCACCGACCGATTGGCTACCGTCCCCGCTATCTGCTTTTCTGTAAGGTTGGCTTTGTTTGTTGCTGTGGGTGCTCGGTTAGGCTGTTTGTGACAAGGTGCGATAATGCCTTTTAATCCGCTCCCGCTGCGTTCGGCACAAGTCCGCGTTGGCAGCCCTTCTGGGGCACGGAGAGAGAGACCATCAGAAGCCGAGACAACGTTCTTCCCTTCGCCAGGCCAACGCCAGCCACGTACAAAAAAAGAAGAAGAAAAGAAACTCTGGTCCTTTGTAGATTGGTGGCAGTGCGGGCTCGCGCCGCGCTCAGCGGATGACGGCCGCCAACACCATCAGAAAGACCAGGAGCGATGCCCTGAGCCCCGAGCAACCGGCTGCCTGCTGCACCCCGCTGGGCGCGCGGATGGGGGTCCGCCGGGTGCACTTACCCTTGCGTTTCGTGGGCAGCGTCGGCATCGCCCCGAAGCTGTATTTGTGCTGATAATCAGGCACGTAGTCTGGAACCTCCTGCCCGTTTTTCCTCGGTCCCAAGGAGCCCGGTTTGGAGGTTCGGTTACGGCTTTTGTGGCTGGTGCAGTTCTTGCCGGGTTTGCGATAGCCCGGCCGGGAGCCGGGGGGGACGGCGGGCTGGTTGCTGTGCAAACTGTTCTCAGCCCCTCTCTCCTTGCCCTTCTCCTTGGAGGAGTGGTGAGGGTGATGGGTTTTGGAGGCTCCTCTGTCCGCTGTGGAGAAAGTGTGTGTTTTGATCTGATGGAGCGACTCGGACCCTGAACAGTTCCTAAAGTCTTCTGCTCTTAGCACCTTGAGGTCCTTGCCGTGCATCTGCTCAGGGGACTCGCAGATGACGCTGGAGCTGGAGCCTCTGAACCTGTGCAGCCATTCCCAGAGCGAACGGGCCTTGCAATCGCAGCTCCACGGGTTCCCGTTCAGCCTGAGGAACTCCAAGGCTCCCAAGTGGGCCAAGCAGTCCCCATGCAGCTCCGAGAGGCTGTTATTGAACAAGAAAAGGGTGGTCAATCTTCGGAGGTCATGAAAAGCCCGCCTGTGAATCCACTGCAGCTGATTTTGATGGATGAGCAGCCGGTCCAGGTTTATTAGTCCCCTGAATGTGTTCTGATGGAGGCTCCAGAGCTTGTTTCCATGGAGAAAAAGATGGCTGAGGTTAACCAAGTCAACAAAAATATCATCCTGAAGGAACTCGATGTGGTTGTCTTGCAGGTAAAGGTATTGCAGGTTGTGGAGGCCACCGAATATCCCGCTGGGGAGGGAGCTCAGCCCGCACTTGTACAGATACAAGGCATGGAGTTTCACCAGCCCTTGGAAAGTGTCTGCAGCTAAAGCCCTTAAGTAGCGGTTATCCCCAAGGTCCAGCTCTTCCAGGTTGACGAACCCATCGAAGGTGTTGGGGTCGATGAAGGTGATGTTGTTGGAGTAGATCCAGAGGGTGACCATGGAGGGGCTGAAGTGGCCCCGCAGCAGCAAGGTGATCTGGTTGTTCTGGAGGAAGATCCTCTCGCTATCCTCAGGGATGCCCTCGGGGATGGTCACGAAGTTGTGAGCCTGGCAGCTGACGGTCATAGGGGACGGGTAGCACACGCAGTCAGTGGGGCAGCCCAGGGCGCTGGGCACCTTCAGCCCCAGCAGCACCAGCAGCAGCTCTGCAAACCCCCCTGTGCAGAGAGAGGGGAGAGCGGCGTCAGCGGGGACCCGGGAGCCTCCCACCCACCCATCGCCTTCCATGGGGACTATTCCGGGTGAGAAACACTCCCTATTAACTCAGCCCTCCTCTCCGCTCATGAGTTACCCACGCTGCCGCGATGAGTGCTGGTTTAAACGTGATGTATGGAGTACTCCCTGCCTGCACCAGGCACGTGGTTGTGCTCCCAGCCTGGAACAGGCAGGAGAAGCCTTCCCAGGGAGAATCCACAAGGAGCAAAGCCCCCTTGCCCACAGGCAGGCAGCGCAGTGAAGGGAACGCCACGGTGCAAAGGTGTGAGAGCAAACGGAGGAGATGCCAACCCTCGTGGGTGTCCATCCCTCCTGTGGTGCATCACTTTAATCACCCGCGCTTCCGTATCAGAGAGGAAAAGGCACAGAGCTTTAGTAATTCCCAGCAAATCACCTGAAATTCCAGTGCTCAGCACAGACCCATCCCCACCACCTCTTTTTACCACCGTTGTCAGACACCACCTTCACCCACCCCGAAACCCAAGGGGTTTACAAGGAAATGTGTTTGTCAGCAGTTGGTGGGAAAGGCTGAGCCGAAACCTCCGGTTGGGAGTGGGCTGCTCAAGACACGGTTCTAAATGGATGTCCTGTGGCAAAGCATATTGCATCCGTGTGCCTGTGACCGTGGCTTTCTCGCTGCAGAGAGGAAGGCAGTAATCATCCCCTCCCTCTGCTCAGCTCTCAGAGTGCTGGTTACGCCGCCCCATTCCCGTCTCGCTCCCACTCCTCACACCAGGCTTGCTTTCAGGCTATTCCTTCTGCGCCCGGTGCCTTTCCAGGCTCGTGGCACCAGACCTGTCATTTTTCATTCAGATTTTCCTCCTAGATCCGGCTTTTTTTCTCCTCCCCTCCCCTTCTCACACACAAAATTTGCTTGTGTCTAATGAATTCTGCCTCTGGACTTCTTACAAGGGGAAGGGAGTAACATGGGAGCAGCGCACAGCTGCCGGTGTCATCCTGCCCACGAGTCCTGCTCAGCTTGTAATAACATGAAAAACAAGAGTGGAAGTGAGGTTCATCTCTAATTACTCCACGCCGTCATCACCAGCGAGTCCATGAGCCTGGACCCCTTGGGCTTGTTCAGTCCTTCTTTCGAGTGCCTGCAGGTGAATGCAAGTGGGAGGCAAAACCCTTTTACTGTTCCCTTATTAATTGTGTTTGAAGGATAACTCTGTGGTTACCCTTGCCTTTTGCCTGGCATGGAGATCTATTGCCATTTAGTTAACAGCAGGTGACACGTCCATCTGGACTCATCCTTTCAAGGCAAAGTTGTGTCGTTTTTAGATAAACAGGGTTATTCAGACCCTCCATAAATCACCAGTAAGAGGCAGTCATCGCTGACTGCGCTGTTAATAGGAAAATAACAGCATCACTAGCCAAAGCGTTGGCCCAAGCCTTGGCTACGATGAGAAGAGGGAGCCTTCTTCCAGGCACTGCCCTTCAGAAACAAAGCATTGGCCACCGGGATTGATGTCTCATCCCTGTGCCGCTGCCAACAAGGGGCTGTAAGTCACCAACTCACGACAACTCCTACGGCTGTGTAGGAAAAGGAACGTTCTCCAAGTCACCACCGTAGCGTTTTGGCTCCGGTATCGTGCCTTTGCGATGGGAAGAGGGGCTGCGGTGGTGGGAGCATCATTGCCAGCGCTGACTACCGAGCGGTCCCTGCCAAGACGGGAGCCCTCGCTGTGACTCGTTGTGCGAGCACAGCCTGAGGAACAGCCGTATCCTGAGGATATTGTGATATCCGAGTGCCAGATAAGGATGGTAAGGGTAAAGCTACATTTGTAGATGCATTCTGCTGGGGTTTTTTTACCCATGGATGTGCTTCGCCATTTAGGACGGCTTCATGTTCCCCGTCTTACCCCGGTGACACCGAGGCACGAAGCCTTCTGTAGGTCTGATGTTTATTAGTAAGATCCTGCCAGGCACAAGTGCTGTGACGATCTCCCACATGCCGAGTCTGTTATTGCAAATACCAAATCACAAGGGTCTGAATCAATAAACCATCTCCCAGCTATAAGCAGCAGGTTGGAAGATTACATATCGCTCCCAAACAACAGTTTTACGCGCTCTTCCGTGACACGACAGTTGCCAGGCTAACGGGATTACTGACAGGAGGTGGAGCCGGCCAGGGATCTGGGAGCATACAGGATTTCATGTATAGGGATGGTGATGACAGGAGGCTGTTAGCAACGTGTGGCGATGGATGAAGGCAGCTTGGGTCTCCCTGGAGCACGGCCAAGGTAGAGGCTCCTGCCGAAAGGGAGCACGGTGGTTAACGGCTCCCTGCCTACGGGGATAACTCCAGAGGTAAAGGTCAGAGGGAAGTGAGTCCATCTCTTTAATTAACAGGTTTTTGAGTTAATGGCTGGAGTTCCTATGGAGAGGGAGACGTGACTGCTGTGGTTGTGGGGATCGTCTATGGTGCTGTTGGTTCTCAGCTTCCCAAGAGTACAATGGTAGGAAGAAAAGCCATGGGTGTCATTCTACCTATGTACTGACATTCAGTGGTAAGGAGAACTGGGAAACGGAAGGATGGGTGCTTGGAAAGATAACAGTTAGGTGGGCAGGACTTGGAATGAGGAACCATATGGACTCAGCAATGGATGCACTCATGGCACATGGTCTCATCAGGGATGTTTTCCCTCCCAGCCCATAAAACCTGCTGCTTGCCTACTGTTGTGAGAAGCTGCTCCTGGGACTGGTAAATATAGGTCCAGAAAGGAGACTCCCAAGAAGCAAAGAGGTCATGGAGCCATGAAGCTCCTGAGGCTGGTGACACCAGCATTGCAATGGGCAGCAGCCGAGCCCCACTGGGATGAGACAGGCAGGAGCACTGGGGTCTCGCTGGGCTTCCCAGGCTGGAAAGAGCAGCAAGAGAGGTTCCAGCCTGGCTCCCCGGGGGGTTACAGCCTGTCCAACTTGTTATTCCTGATACAGCCCTCTTGACTTGGCCTTGTAAAGGTTGCGAGGCAGATGGAAGGTCACCAGAGCCCGTGTCAGAGCTTGCTGGGGAGGGAGAGCTTCAAAAGCATGGAAAAATCCTATAGGATCCTGCTAGGGAAGTGAATGAAAACAAAGCCAGCAAGGGGGACTTCATCTCCTGCCTTTCTCCCATGGACACTGCACTATCACCTCGGCTTCTTCTCGCCGCATCCTTCTGCTGCCTCCTGCTTTTGACGGAGGTTTCAGTGATCAGAATGAATTCGTCTGAGTGTCCAAACCATTTCCCATGTAGCATCTCTCTAATTGGGCATTAATTAGGCATCAGTTAATGAATGCTCAAAATAATTTATCTTTGGATGCGTCCAGTTTGCAGTCTTACTTTTAACAGCGTTAGACTCATTATTAGATTAACATCGTTATAAATGTTCTCCATTACCTGCTTGTTTCCATTGTCTTTGCCTTATTACTGAGAGTGAAAATCACTCCTCCTGCATGCATTATTGATGAGTAAGGACTTTCTATATGTAGCACGGGATTAATTGTTATACAGCGTAATGCATTTAGCGTGAAGCCTCAATTTGTGCAAGAGCCGAAAGCAGCCAGAAGAATGCAGACACCCGGAGCCAGCACACTCAGCCAGACACAGAACATCTCTACGAGCCCAGACCAGGTCCCTCCAGGCTGGTGCCAGCACAGAAAGAAACTTAAAGAAGGCCAAAAGAAGCTGGTTTGATACCCAAGATCAAGGGGGGAAGAAGGTTCAAAGGGTTGGAGCACTTTGCTGCCATTGCAGGAGGGATGCTGGGCTCAGCTCAGCCCATTCCCAGGGCACCCAGTGTCTCTGTGCTGGCAGTTTTCTTGCATTCGAAGCTTTATAGCACTTTACTGTGCCTCCAAGTGAGGCAAAACCTTGGTTTATTTGGGAAGACATGATGCCACTTGTTTTCATTGGAGTCTCAGGCTCGAGGGGAAGAACTAACAGGTTTTACTATGACTTAGGAGGGATGCAGCTTCAGAGCTCTCTAGAACGCAGCCCCACCACAAGCCCTTTCCACCCCATGCCCATTCCCTCTCTGTAAGCTACTGCTCTCAGATGGATGCATCCAGCCAAGTTTATATGGGTCATGACCCGCCTAAATCTCCAGCAGGATCTGGTCTAGAGGATGGAGCAGGTTGCTTCTCTTCCAAATCTCTCCTAAACCGCCATCTGCTTTGGGAGACCTATCTTAGCTCATGTCTACATGCAACTTGACTGCCTGCTTACTGTGTCCATTACCGGTGCTGCTCAAGCTGCTAGATTTATAAGCTCTTTAGAGCAAAGCCCTCGTCTTCTGGTTGCTGATTTATGTGTCTTTACTGCCATAAAACACTATGTATAGCTACTACATAATATAAATAATAATACTTAAGCAGAGCGAGCTACAAGTGGGGACAAAACATCTGTCTTCTGCTCGCAGCTGGGATTATCAAAAAGGCAGAAGTTTGCTCATCACTCACCCTCTTCTGAAGCCAAATTCACACCTGGTTGTAACACCACCACCTCGCTGTCAATGAGAACCAGAGAGATGTTTCCTGTCCCATTCACACCCTGGAGCTAGCAAAGGATGGCTTCTAAATCCCAGTGAACTGGGGCACGCTGCTGGGCAAGACACACTTTGAAACTGGGAGCTAACTCAGGGTGGGACCGGGAAAGAAACTACTGCTTTAGGAGAAAAAGCAGCCTCAAACATTCACAATTCCATCTATTGGGTGAAGGATGATGAAAGGCAAGGCCAGAGCAATGGTAGCAACTGGGTGAGAGCCAAGAGCGGGACTTCAGATGTGGGACAGTGCGACAAAGCGGTGTCAGACCTGTGCTTAGGAGCTGCAGGGGGGGCTTTTTCCCCTCTTCCCTCTCATCTCTTGCCACACAGAGGATAAAACAAACCAGCCCGTCCTGCCTGTCACCAAGACAACTCCCCAGTGAGCAGCAGCAAAAAGCCCCTTAAGATGCTGCCCCATGGTCCTGCGGTGCTCACAGTAGGAGCATCCTCAGCGCGTTCGCTCCCTGCATCCTGGTGGGGATATGGGACAGGGCTCTCATCCTGCCCAAGCTGCCTGTCAGCTGTCGAGTGGCAGCCACCCATCCACCTTCATCATGTTTTAATCCTTTCCTCTCTTTTTCCCCCCCTCCTTTGCAAACGGTGTCATAAATAACTGACAGATCCCAGCTGTTTGGAGTTATGGTTTCTGATAGAGTGACAGCTGCTCCCAGTCCCCCAGTCATCACCCCGGCAGTTCTGGAACGTTTCAGCAACATAAAAATCATTGGAGATCATTCCGGTTTTGCATAATTTGGTTAGGCAAGCTGTGATTTAATGGCAATTATGACCTCCGAGGCAGAAGATGAGCTTGGAGGCTACCGGCTTCACACAACTTTAGCTCTGGGTGCAGCGGCAGGGATGTTCCAGGGAGAAGGTACTACAAGCAAAAAAACCCCATCTCCAGCTGCTGGAAATTGCCTTCCTTCACTGGCAAATGAAAAGAGTGTTCCCAGAGGAAGAAGCATGCAAGGAAA